TAAATGCCTTTTAATTCCTGCGTTCGCTTTCTGTAATGGCTTCTCCAGTCATGTGGTATCAGTTAGATTCGGGAGAATCAAAATATCTGTTCAACATTGTTTTATTTTATTCTGAAATTATTGCCTTTATGTTGTTGATGATGGTAATATATTTTGAATGAATAGAGTCCAGGGTCCTGTTAGATATGCTGTTTTATTATTTTTTCTATATAGTTTATATCTCTAGGGGCGGATCCATGATTCTTTGAATGGGGGGAGGGGCACAGGGGTGAGTACATGTTATTTAAAGGGAGGGGGGTCCCCCCTAGGGGTGGGGCTAGGAGTCTGGGCACTCGAGGGCTTGTCACTCCTTACATCTGGTTTCCATTACGCTTACTCACAGCTTGAGGAGAGGGAAAGAGGGTAATAAATAAATATTTACCATCACTTTTTAATTTCTTATTTGATATCAACAAAACAAATGAAACTCTGATAAATTTTTATTTTATCTGTTATTTTTCTCTTTTATTTAAAAAGAGGCTGAACACACATATTTATAGATCTAAACCCTCGCAAAAATTCAAGATACCCGCACGAAAACGCAGTGGATACTCCAGCGCAGTAGACTACTGCAACCATACTTCAAACATGCTTCAAATCTGCTTCGATTTGGGAGCTAATTAGCATATTTGAAACATGCTTCTATCATGCTGCTAATCTACATAAATGCTCCTCTCTGTACAAACCTATGTACTTTTTGGAGTAGAATTGCAGTAGGCTATACTGCATTTCTACTGCAAATATGCTCCACACCACTACTGCGTTGATGCTTCTTTGCTACCTCGATACTACTGCATTTTCGTGCGGGATGCATTTCTTTTTTCCAAAACCACTTTAATTTATATCTTTATAATATCTATATAAGGAGAAAAAATATTTCCAAACTGTGTAGGTAAAAAAAGAAAAATGTAAATAGATTTGATCCATAATAATGCAATCGTTGACCCCGACGAAGGTGCTCTTTCATCTTTGCACCAAAAAGCACAATGTCCTCTATATTCTACTGCTGCGCCTTCTATTAACAACTGTCCTGATTTGCCTGTGTCCTGATTTGCCGTTTCTGATCTGGATTGCCGGATTCTCCTAAAGCGAGGCAGCATCATATGGAAATTACCCGGTCATAACGCCTCGAAGGAGATAAGAGATAACGGGATCAAGGGAGAATGCCAGTTGCTAAGGCAAAGTGCCCGGATGACCGTCTGTCCCTCATTAGCAAATATCTAGAGAAAAGTCAATCTATGGGCCTGGTAAAGGGAAGGCCTACACAAAAACACAACCGTCGTAACAGTGGCCCTCAACAGGGGGCCAACACAAAATAGGTCACCAATAAGGGGTACCGGAGGAGATCAGCATTGGTCAGAATTGTGCTGGAAGTGTAACATCAAGTGGTGCATGGACCTAATTAGAGAAGGCCTTCTCTAATTAGGTCCATGAGTGGTGTAAGACGTAAAGCTGAGTGGTCATTTTAGCTGGAGGTGAATGGGAGAGAAGACAAGGACTCGGAGGAAGAAGCAGTTTTTCAAACAAAGTGGTAAGATAACATTTCTTCTTTACGCATTTTGGGCAGAGAATAGGCCTACTTGTAGACATAATATAGGCACACGATATGAAAACGTGACACGGAACTTGAAGGTGCAAAATCGTACTTAATTTGCAGAAAACTTGTTTTGAAATACATGCTGCATCGACCGCCAGCGCGACAAAGAGCGTAAAGGGAAAGGAATTCCCGGGAGGCTATAAAATGTTGAATTTTGGCATTTATTAATCTGATATGTCAATATCTAAGTATTTTTGGGTGTTTTATGGCATGTGCTGCAATTATAATGATGTTTTAGAGTTCTTGAAGAACCTTGTGAAAACTAGGAAGTAGTTCGTAACTAACAACTGAATCGTACCGATCTACGACTGCTGTGCAAAGATGTATCTTTTTTTAATATTGTGACGAATTTTTAGATCTTTATATTTCCATCTGACAGGAAATTCCACACATATGATCACACTAATACACCTTTTACACCTGGGTAGGCACTAATCAGTGACAAATACCAAGACAAAGATGACATTCTGACAGCCTCTTATCTGAGCTAAAAATCACAAGTACGCGACTGGCATTAAATGGCATCTTACAAGATCTTCCCAAAAAAATTAAAAGAGAATTCAGGTGAGCCGATCACAAAGCAGACAGGTAATTAAGACTAGCTCTAAGTTACTAATAATTGACATTATTATGCAGTACTCAGTTGAAAAAGCGATTCTGACAGGTAGATAAGATATAACATGACCAGTTTCTTAAGGCTATTGACTTCCAGCCTGGGGAAATTGATTGCCAGTCTCTTTAGCTAGTGATTTTTAGATAAGAGGCTGTCAGAGAATGTCACCTTTGTCTTGGCATTTGTCACTGATTAGTGGCTACCCAGGTGTAAAAGGTGTATTAATGTGATCATATGTGTGGAATATCATGTCAGATGGACATATAAAGATCTAAAAATTCGTCAAAATATTTAAAAATAGATATATCTTTGCACAGCAGTTACGGATTGGTTTGACTCAGTTGCGAACTACTTCCTGGTTTTCACAAGGTCCTTGAAAGACCCTTAAACATCAAAAAACACAAAAAAATACTTAGATATGGACATATCAGATTATATAAATGCCAAAATTCCCCATGACAACGATTTATAGCCTCCCGGGAATTATTTTCCCTTTACGCTCTTTCACGCGCTGGCGGTCGATGCAGCATGTATTTCAAAACAAATTGACTGCAAATAAAGCACGATTTTGCACCTTCAATTTCCGTGTCACGTTTTCATCTCATGTGCCTCTTATTTCTACAAGTATTCTCTGCCCCAAATGCATTAAGATAAAATGTTATCTTATCGTGTTGTTAGAAAAATTGCTTTTTTCTCCAAGCCCACGTATTCATTCCCATTCACCTCCAGCTAAAAATGACCACTCAGCTTTACGTCTTACACCACTACACTTCCAGCACAATTCTAACCAATGCTAATCTCCTCCGGTACCCCTTATTCTTCGCCTTTGATTTTGCAAAAAGGAAAACCAGGGTAGGAGTGACTTAAGATGGCAGCTCTTCAACCTAGCCTGGATGCAGCAAGCACTAAGGACAGACTCAAGGGGCGGGTAGCTATAGTCACAGGGGGTGCCAGTGGTATAGGCAGTGCATGTGTGCGACGATTCTTGAATGACGGAGCACTTGTTGCCTTCTTCGACATCGACCAAGTTGCCGGGAAACAGTTGGAAGCTGAGCTCCAGGCGGCTGGCTCTGAGACGAAATTTTACCAGGTCGACGTTTCCGACCGAGAGGCGTGCTTCAAGGCCGTTAGCCACGTAGCTAGCCAGTACGGTGGCTGCATCAACTTTCTTGTGAACAGTGCTGCTGTATTCATATTTAAAGGCAAGTAGAAGTTATGGATTGTAAAAATCTCTTTCCGACACCCCACGAGTATTGCCTTTAAATCATTTAAAAGTGAATGTTTGATAAAGATAGCATGTTTTGGGGCATTTTTTTTTTTTTTACAATCATTGGGTGGCCTATGAATGGTCGATCCGGTCATCTGTCCCAGTTGGTTTCTAATCTCCCAGCTGTTTACCCAGTGCAGATCTCTTCTGCTACCTGGTAAATTTTTCCAGCTTTTCTAATCAAAAGAACACCGCCTTTGTTATATTTCCCAGTACATGGCTTGCCTACATGCGTCTACATGGGTCTACGGCACGATATCAAAACCTACCAGCTGGCAATGACCTGATTAAATAATATTTGGGTGAACGGAACCACTGAATACCCCCGCATAGACCTCCATAAATCTGACGTAAGGTGGGAACGTGAGACAATTTAAAACTTAACTCGCGCTGTGATCCATAATGCATGAACACTTAGTCGTAACCATCCCTTTTTTCGCCTTCAAATTCACAGCGCAAGAGCACTCGACGTACAAAACGAAACACTCGCTGCTGTGGGATGGGTGATGGGTCGGACTGGCCGGGGGGGGGGGGGGCTGATATCCCTGCTCTCTCCCCTCGGTTCTCAACATTAAATCAACGTTCGTCTTTGTTTCACAGCTCTAGATGCCGACACGTCCGACTGGGCACAAGTCATGAGTGTGAATGTGGCTGGATACTCGAATATGGTACAGGCCTGCTTTCCTCACATGAAGACAGGTAAAATACACATCTCTCGTTCTCTTTGTCCTCCTTCTCCTCTCTCTCTCTCTCTCCTCTCCTCTCCATCTCTCTCTCTCTTTCTCTCTCTCTCCCCTCTATCACCACCTTGTACGAGTATGAGCATGAATCCTTGCTTTCCACCGTAATAACAGCAAAATCTACATCGTGCAGCAAGTCCTTTCTTGAAACCCCCTTTGCACTGGACGGCGTCCTTTCTGCGTCCTTTGCTGCGACCATTAAACTGACCAGGTCGCCATTGAACGATCAATGAACGCACGGACATCGCTAAGATCGCACAGGCGCCATGGTCACCGCAGTTTTGGGTATGTTCAAAACAATCGCACAGAGAACGNTCTCTCTTCCTCTCTCTCTCTCCCCTCTATCACCACCTTGTACGAGTATGAGCATGAATCCTTGCTTTCCACCGTAATAACAGCAAAATCTACATCGTGCAGCAAGTCCTTTCTTGAAACCCCCTTTGCACTGGACGGCGTCCTTTCTGCGTCCTTTGCTGCGACCATTAAACTGACCAGGTCGCCATTGAACGATCAATGAACGCACGGACATTGCTAAGATCGCACAGGCGCCATGGTCACCGCAGTTTTGGGTATGTTCAAAACAATCGCACAGAGAACGAGAGTTAAGCGTACTGACCACACATGACACACAAATTCAGACGCACAAAAGAGAGTGGCAACGATTAAAAACGAATGCATAACTCTTGTCCGGCGCGTTTGACGAATGCCAAAATTGCCACAGTTGCCAATTTTTTTAGCGCGTCAGTCGAGCGCCGACCCTGCGTCGTGTAGGTGTGACCGGGGTATTGAGCGCAGAAAGGACGCCGTCCACTGATAAGGGGCCTTTACTCCAATTTGAAAACAAATTCTCTCCATCGAACAAAATTAAAAAGTAAACATTCCTTTAAACTCCATATCTGAAATTGATCATAGTTTGTCAATATTTTTGCAATCCGTACAGTACTTAAGCAATATTTCACTAATATTTCATCAACACAGCCGAACCTGACGCCAGATCAGTCGTCAATATAGCCAGTAACCTCAGCCACGTGGCATCGGCCAGTAAGTGGACGTACTGTACCAGTAAAGGTGCCGTGCTGGAGCTGACCCGGTGTATGGCACTGGACTTGGCCAAAGATGACATTCGGGTGAACTCCGTGTCACCGGGATCCATAAATACAGCTGCGGTAAGTGTGTGTGTGTGTGTGTGTGTGTGTGTGTCTGTGAGAGAGAGAGAGAGAGAGAGAGAGAGGGGTTATCAGAAGATTCACTGATATCTTGAAATTTGATTGAAGAAATGCTTAATAAGATGAGCTGAAGAGAGAACGTCATGGTTTTAATGCTGATAATCAAAATCCATATTAAAGGCAGTGCGGAGCAGAAGAAAGAATTAAAACACTGCCAAAATGATATCATTCATATTTCAGCTCGCAAACTTCTTCGCAGGCGATGAAGACCAAAAGAGGTGGTTCGAGGGATGTCACATGATGAACCGAATCGGAGCATGCGCAGAAGTTGCTGCCGCCATTGCCTTCCTCTGCAGCAGAGACGCATCCTTCATCACGGGCGCCGATCTCCCGGTAGATGGCGGGTTCACGGCAGTAGGCCCTGAAAGGCATGGGAAAGACGGAGCCAAGTTCACTGGCACGATCCCAAAGTAGATGCTGCACCTGTCCTTCATTTAGAACTAAGCAAAGTTTAACTATCCAATGCCCCAAATGGTTCCGACCACGTGCCCATTGCCCTTCCATTTTAGAAAATAGGGGAGTATCAACTCGCGACACCATGAAATTAAATAGTTGGTAGAAAATGAATAGAAAAACGCCAATCAGATAACTGGTCCTTCTATGTTTAATGCTTCACACGATACGTATTGGATTCATTTTAAATAATCAATTATACTCTCTCCATTCATACCTTTACAACCAATAGTAAACATCTTTTTCGTATTGTATCTTATTGTTAATTGAACCATGCTGTGTATTGAGATGTGTGTAAAAGTAAAAATGCTAAATAATACCAGTAATAACTAGAAAAGCACTCAGAGAGCGCAGACCTCCGCCAAGGCAGTAAAGTCTCCATCTAATGCCGTTTCACCCCTAAATTTTCGATATTTTTGATTAGTGATTATTGATACGGATCGCCACCAAAAACTATCGATCTGTTTCTTGGTCCACCTCTGACAGTTCCTAAAAAATTCATCAAAATCGGTCCAAAACTTTTTGAATAATGTTGATGACAGACAGACAAACAGAGGTGAAAACATAACCTCCTTGGCGGAGGTAATAATAGTAGCAATGACATTTTACAGTCTCTTTGAGGTGTTTATACTGTCACCTAGTATTTCAGAGATTAACACTTTTGATAGTTGTATTAAATGCTTTATCCAGACCATCTGTTGTTGCATAAGCCCTCCAAAGGATAGTTCACAGATTATCCTATATTAAAACTAGAAAAGCACTCCGAGAGCGCTGACCTCCGCCAAAGATCACCACCAAAAACTGATCATCTTTTCCTTGGCCCATTTCCGTCAGTTCCTGAAAATTTCATCAAAATCGGTCCGTAACTTTTTTAGTTATGTTGATGACGTTATGTTCCCTATGTCCTTGACAATGATCAAAGATATTCTGTATTATGTATAGTTTTTTTAATGTACAGACGCAGTCTGTACATATAGCTGTCACCTGCGTCTGTCGTCGCCGGCGCCGTGCACTCAGCGATAACACGATAAGTGGAATACCGTTTTACTTTTTGTATTCAAACTTACAGAACGTATGAATATTCATAATACGCAGGTCAAGTTCGAAAATCAGAATGATCGGGCCATTTTTAGGGAAGTTATGCTGTTTTTTCACTTTTCAGCATATATGCAACACTGATAACGCGATAAGTGAAAAACCGCTTTACTTTTTTGGCTTGAAACTTATAGAACTGATGAATATTCATAATACGCAGGTCAAGTTCGAAAACCAGCATGATCGGGCCACTTTTATGGAAGTTATGCTGTTTTTTTTTCACTTTTTTCAGCATATATGGAACACTGATAACACAATATAAGAAAGACAGATAGGCCAATTGTCATTATACTCACAGGAGTGGTCAATCTTACTAAAACGTAGATTGAGTTCGAAAATCAGCATAATCAGGCCATTATTTTAGAAGTTATGCTGTTTTTTCACATTTCCTCAGATTCAATTCTTAGGCATGTTAACAGTCTCATTATTGAACTAATAAGATACGTAAAAGTGTTTGTTTGACATTTCCTGCATCTTTACAACATTGTTAGTTGATTTAGTAAAAATGATGGTAAACGTGTTATCGTGTATTGTGTAATTAAGTGTCAACAATGGAAATAAAATCATATCATTGCAGTTTGTCAGATTCAATCATCCACTATGTTCAGAATCCCAGAATGGAGAAAATTGGACATTTAACACTGTTCTATTGATATTTTTCCCATCCCATCAATTTTCTTAGTTGAACATGTAAAAAAGACAGTAAACTGTTTACTTTGTTTTATGTTAAAAAAGTGTTAAAAATGGAAATAAACCCATTCAGAACAGTGCTGTCTTGTTTACATTTTGGCATTTTCAAGGTGTGACTTTGAAGTTCCATGGGCCTGAAGACCTTTGCTAGTCACATTTTCTGAATATCCATGATACTAATATTTTATTATTAAAAATTGATGGTCATTATGCTGTTAAACATTATGTAATATTGCATCAAACCCCTATTTTGGGCACTGCTCCCATGATGACCATTTAAGGAAAACCATGTCACTGACTGTTCTCAAACTTACAGGAAAGAAACATGGGACTAAAATACAGCTTCAGTAGGCAATGCAGTTTGTTTGGTAAATTTTTCTGGCAATTAAACAGTTTTTTTGTGAAAATTAAATTTTTCACATATTGGCATTTTCAAGGTGTGACTTAGAACCTCCACGGATTTGAAGACCCATGCTAGTCACATTTTCTGAAAACCCATGATATGTTTATTTTATTATTAAAAATTGATGGTCATTATGCTGTTAAGCATTATGTAATGTTGCATCAAAATAGAAGAAAACACAATTTTTGGTGTGCTGCCATGATGACCATTATGGGAAAACCGTGTTACTTATGACTGCCAAACTTTCAAAAAAGAAACACAGGACTAAAATGCAGCCTGAGTTGGAAAAGCAGTCTAATTGGCTTCTTTCTCTGGAAGTTATACATTTTATGAAATATTCATTATTATCGTTTTGGCATATTCATTGTGGGACTCGGAGCTCCCATGGACATGAAGCCGAATGGTAATCAAATTTTCTACATGTCCATGCTATTTATAGTCAGTAATCCAAATTGGTGATAATTATTCTGTAATTTATTATGTAATGTTACATCAAAATTGACAAAAATCTTTTTGCACTGCTACTACAAACAATATAAAAAAAACAGTGTTACTTATAATTTTTAACTTACAAGTATGAATTTTAGGATTGGCATGCAGTTCAAATTAGAAAGCCAGCTCAATTGCGTTATCATTTATTATTGAATTTATGCAATTTTGTGTGAAATTTTCATTTTTCTCATTCTGGCATTTTCAAAGTGTGAACTTGAACTCCCATGGGCCTGAAGCCTTATGCTTGTTACACATTTTACTTACATCGATATTACCTGTTGATCATAAATGAAATTTGATGTTGAATTTTCAGTTAAGCATAATGTACTTTTGAATCAGAATTGACAGTAACCTATTTTGTGCATTGTTATTTTCTGCTTTTTGTCTGTACATTTGACAGCTTTGCTGCCTTTTTTTTTTTTTTTTTTTTTTGTAACAAATGTAATTTTCACTTAAGAAAAAAAAATACCAACAATGTTTAAACTCGTGACACGTTGCACAACTAGTCCTGAATTCGGTTTGGATCTTTTCAACCAATTCCAATTAACTTCTAAACCAAGCATCCTTGTTTCTGACATTCCAAAAGAAGCTATCAACATCATTTGATGGGTTTTCTAGTTGGGTGAGATACGAAGCTATGATGAATATTTAGACATAAAAAATATGACTTTGGGAGCAAATATAAAATAGGTAAAAAATATCTTTAAAATATTGAAACAGAGTCCAATACATGAGCTTCAAAAGCCACCTGACTGGTTGCATATGATTCACGTTTTTCCAAGTAAAATACACACAGTCTTAGAACGTTACATAAATAAGGATATAATTTTAATTATAGTTAATATTTAAAAATATTCCTTTTATTTGACCTCTCCAACGACATGTTTCTTTCTCTCTGGTACAAACGGATCAGCGCCTGTTAGCCTCCCTGGAACAGTAAATACATAATTCTTGATATTTATTTTAAAAAATTACAAATTCGGTAGAATCATTTCACATTTTTACTTTCTAAAAGGTCAGTGAGTCTACCTTTCCTAAAGGAAGTGATAAGATCAGTTTGGTATTATACAACTAAGTTTTGACTTCTAACAGAAATACATTTATAATGTCTTCAAATTTTGACAGTCACTTATTTTGCAATTTGGGATTATATACAGAAGTGCCCATTGGTGTTTAATGGACTAAAGAAAATAAAATTTATGCTTAATACTAGGTCATTTCATATTGTTTTTTCATAGTATTTATCATTTTAAGTTTTTAATATTACTATTGATAAAACTTTATGCATTATTAACATACTTTCTTTTCCTTGATGGCTTTATACAATACACTGCAATACAGCGCAACACAGCGCAATACACTTGATAACACAAGTCCAGTTGCAAGTTAACACAAGAAAGGGTAATCTCAAATAAAATAGGGTGATATAAAAGCAAAATATGGTACATAGTAATTAATATTGCTGATACAACTTGACAAATCGGCACAATTTTTTCATTGTTTGGTCAGCCGCCGTGTTGGCGAGTAGCTCTTCTTGGCCAGTAATGTATCCAAGAAGAGCCACTCGCCAACATGGCTGCCAACTGGACAATATAAAAGACTTGATGATTTGTTAAGTTATATCATCGATATAACTTGCTTAGTAATATAGGTTGTTTTTATATCACCCTATTTTGCTGGGAATGGTCATTTCTTTTGTGTAATTGCAACTGGATTTGATTTTTCAAGTGCATTGCACTGTGTTGCGCTGTATTGCGGTATATTGCGCAATTCAGTCACACCGGTGAGGGTCGCAAGTGGCGCGCACCACTTGCGCTGCGCCAGATGCTCGCGCTCCTCAGCTCCCCAATGCGCTCTCTGTTCAGCAGAGGTGCCTCCCGGTGTAACAGTAATCCAAGTAATCCAAGTCCCTTCGGACCTCGGTTCCTGGTAATGGTTGTCTGTAGGACTAACATTACATGTACCTGGGAATAGTAGTCCTACAGGGACTTAAGTTCCTGGCTCATAATTAGAGTAGGTAGGACTTGTATTGCTGTCGGACTTTTATTCCTGTTACACCTATGACAGTAATAAAAGTCCGGCCACTTGAAAGTCATATCCTTAGCCAATAATACTATTAAATGATAAAACTATAAATGTATATGAAATCCTGGTGAGCCATATATCAGGCAAAAAATGAGAGTTTTGCAACTTCAACTCGTCTGTGGTGGTTAACGTGCAAGACCACAAGGTAAGAATTCATGAATCGCTCTGTTGCATCTATGGGTTCGAGACCTATCTTTGACATGACCTTCCCCCTATTTATTACTTGTAGCAAAATGTTTAATGATGTTTTTAATGTCTAATATGTGTTCGAAATTCCGTGCTCATTACATTTACAACTTTTTTGTTTTGTCTTTTAAGTGTCAAAGCACCAAAATAGCAAAGGGTTATTACAGAACATTATATACATATATTGCAATTTTCAATTTCTAAACTGTCTTGATTTGTCTTAAATCTCAGCAAATACTTTCCAAGAGCAAATTTCCATCGAGCATAAGGTTTTTTTTTTTTTAATTTCAGCGAGTGTAAACTGAAAAATAAATCTAAGAACGGAGATCCCGCGTTTTGTGTAAAGTGATTTTTCCCTTAGGAATAAGGTTTTGAAAAAGAGAGAGAGTTAGAGAAAATAAGAATTTCGACGCAAAACACAAATGGTACACCCCAGTAAAAAAGGACATGAAATAATGTACACTGTACATATACCTCAAAGGATGAAAAGGGATGCCTTTGGATGGTGCCTTATTTTGTTAAAAAAAATATCGGGCAAACCAGGCTCATACATATTGTACAGTGAGGGAGGAGTAGGCCAAAAATATGCATTAGTTAACACGTCAAAATGTGCGTTTACTAGATGAAAAATACACATAAAATAAATAAATTGTTTTTGTTTCTTCATTAATATGCATTTGAACTGCCTATCGGAAAACATTGTAAAATATAAAGATAAAATGTCATATAAATAGAATAAAGCAAACGTTTATTATATCTTTAAAACTAGTATGTCTCTATATCTATTTATTCATGTCATTTATTGGTGTAAACTATATAGGACATGGGTTACTAAAATGTTAGGAACGCACGTCCCATTAGGACGTGCATTACTACACGTACATGTGGGACTTGCATTACTTAGGAGCCTTCGTCCTACGGACATTGAATCCTAGTAACGTATGTCCTAGGATTTCCATTCCTAGCAATGCATGCCCTAGGACTTGCATTCCCAGGACTTAGTGTCCGGGCGGACTTGCGTTACTAGGACGTGCACTCCTGCCACACCGACCTGCCCCTATCGAACGCACCGCGAAATGTGGGATCATGTGATTAAGGAGCATTACATATTAATTTTTTATTGAAAGAATGGAAAATGGTGAACACGTTAATCAGTCAGACTAACTATAACTGTGTACATTTTTGTTTACTTCGCTGGGGGCTTCCATTTTTCTTTGTTTCCGGCTACCGGCACATGCGCATTGTTGGCATGACTTGAGCAATCGGCGCTTCTGCTCAAGTCGCTGAGCCATTTGCCTCAAGAGGCCAAAAATATCAAACACGTGATAAAAGACAGTTTGTTAACTTAATTATCAAGTTATTATTATACATGTAATATGAACATCCATAAACCAATTTTGGAATTCTAAATTTCTTTTTTTTTTTTTTT